CTGATAGATTCAAATTATTTTGTTGCATTAAAGAAAAATAAAATCTGTTGCAGGTGGGATAAATGATTTAGTTCCAGTTTGTTCATGACCTTGAAATCTTGCCTGTTGTAAAAGTTCTTACAGGCATAGATCTGCATGCTAGATAGAAGCTCCTTCTTTTTTTGTGGCAGCAAAAACACATTACTGCCACCTACAGGGCTGGAGGAAAAATAAATAAAGAGTCTTCGTTCATGGATCAAATATGGAGGGAAGTTCTCATTTCGGATGTTAACCCTCAGTCCCTCAGTGAGGTCTAGAAGCACAAGATCTATATCCAGCCATTCAGCATAGATCTATGCTACATGGCTGTACATCTTATTTTGGTATTTGACTAATTAGAAGAGCCCTTGAATGATATAATACCTAAAGAAAATTAAGAAGGAAAAAAAGTTAAAAATCTAATTGTAAAGTTAAAAAGTGAATAAGTCTATTTAACAATTATATTTAGGTTTATAAACTAAAAAATCTAAGTGCCAATATCAGCATTAAAGCCTCGAAGGTTAAGTTGGACCAAAAAAATAAAGAAAAAATATGTTTCTTTCACTCTCAGAGTGTTTTTTTTTATTTATTTCTTCTAGAAGCACTCTTGTCATTTTTCTTAATAAATTCAGGCTAGTTGGCGTTTCTTCTTATTACATTATAATTAATTTTTGCCTTCAAAATATCCAGATTTTTTTTACAAAGGTAAAATTAAATTCCAATAACTCTATTGAGTTCGCTATAAAGTGTTAAATGAGGAGTTTCATCAGCAGCATCTCTGGATGGAAAACGACCCGAGGAGAACGGCGGCGGCGGCGAACCAGGAACCAGCGCCGCTTGCTTTCATTTAGCTGTGAAGTTGGAACTCAGGGATGAGAGATAAATAAAAACAGAGTTGCTTTTCCAGAGTTGCTTTTTTTTTGGGTTCCTTTTATAGAACCGGTTTGGTTTCCCTCTAAGTGGGAACCGACCCGCAGCCTCGTCATTACGTCACTTTAGGACGACTCATCCAGTCCGGCTTTGGTTGACGTTTCTGCAGAACCCGCCGGGAAACGTGTGCATGAAAGATTTCAAGACCAAATGAAAATAAAAGTTTCTACTGCAGCTATGTTTTAAATGTTAGGCTGAAAATTTACCTTTAGGCCTCTTTCTGGAAAAAAAATAATAAAAAGGAAACTACTTCCTGCTTTTATACTTCAGCCACTCGTGCCAGTCATGTTTTTATTTACTAGTACTTTCCAATCACTACAGTAACTGCTGCTATAATCAGTTTGAACCATTGATTGAGTCATTTTCTACTCTGCTTACAATCTATAGTCAGGAAATGCGGTTATATAACAACAATAATCATAATTTACCAGCAGGAGGTCATTAGGAGGTTATTTTGGTTTTATCTCTGGTCACAACTGGACGGATCAGAACAGCCAACTGGTCCAAACGGGGAACGGACCAAACATTTTCCAAATAATACATCGTTAAATCAGATTATGCATGTGATTGGAGCGTTTTATTGTCATCGTCAGAATTAATCAGGCATATCTTAGAACCAGGAGACAGACTGTAATAAAAGGGGTAGAAAATGAGTTTGAACTGGTCTGAAATCACATGGAGGTGGGAAGAAGGAGCCAAGGACCCTCAGCAGGTCATTCTGCTCCCAACAGGGAAATCATCTCATCCACGTCTTTGAAAAACTGCAGGAAAGTAGCTGCCTAGAATATGTTTTTAAATACATAGAAAAAGACCATAAAAGGCTTCAATCTCAGATGCAATTTAACATAAAAGTACATTAATTATTATTAAAGCTCTTTTGGTTAAATGTGGCTCAGATTTATAAGATTCAGATTTTATTAAACATGTTGGCTGAAGCATTTCTACGATAAAAATCAGTTTTTCTCTGATTTTTTTTTCCATTTCCTGTGTGTTTGTGTGATTAACCAGCCAATCAGAGATCAGAATCAATTAAAGGAAACAGCCTGGATCCTCTCTAGCTGCTGATCAGAGCATCTCTATCTGTGGGAAATGAAATATTAATTAAATTTAAAGCTTAATAATAACGTAGTTAAGTCTTTATGTTTTCATTCCTCTAATTATGAAAGGATTTTTAGCAAGTTGTTCAATCAATCAGGGGTTATAAAATGTAAACATGACATTTTCCTTTTTTTTAAAGTCTAACAGAAACTTAACAGCAGATTTTTACACGTTATATTTTTAGATATGTTTGTGTTTTTAAAGTTTAAGAAGAGACGCTGACATTTGGAGTATGTTTTATAAATCCAGATTTAAATAACATTTAAAACATCTCCAATCATACTAAATCGTATCAAAAGTCGTTACGACTCTGGTTTTTGAAAATTGTACGGAAGATTAATTAATATCTCATTATTTAATTATATAATTATATAAATTATATTTAGATATTTTGGTGTTTTTAAGGTTTAGGGAGAGATTACAACATTTGATGTTTCATAAATCCAGATTTAAATCTATTTATTACACATAAATATCTCCTTTAAAGGAATTTAGTTACTTAAAAGAGAAAGTTATGATCTATAAAGTGTGGAGGAAATTATATTTGGACATTAAAATAAAAAAAATTAGGACAAATAATAAATGAGGATAAATAAATAAAATAATAAATTTAGGGAAACCATTAGTAGGCATGTTGATGCAGCTGGTTGTGGAGTTTTAATGGTGATATTAGAGGAGAGGACAGAAACAGGAACAATTCACGGATTAGTTCACGGCTGGGTTATCCTGCGATGAGGAACAAAACGTGGCCGAGGCTACCCGAACCGAGGCCACCCGAACCGAAGCTACCCGAACCGAGGCTCTCCGAACCGAAGCTCTCCGAACCGAGGCTCTCCGAACCGAGGCTCTCCGCTCCCAGCCCGGTTAATCGGCAGGTTGTAAGTTTCCGGGCCGCCGCGCAGCGCCAGGAGGCCGATGGGAGCAGGAACCGGGCGGACTGGGTGTGCCGACCGACAGCAGACTGTTTATTCCAGCGCTGCTCAGCAGATGTGGAAACTTTCCCGTCCTTCTGATCGCCTCCCTGCCCCGGACCCCCCCACCCTCCCTCCGTCGGTAAAGTTGTTGGCGGTGAAGCCAAAGCGGCGCCCGGTTACCTTTGATAACGTTGCTGTAGATCGTCCCTCTGAAGTCATCCCGGGCTTGCTGGTCGAAGTCCTCGCCGTGGATGATCCGCATTTGTTTGAGGAAAGTCGACTTGCCGCTCTCGCCCGCGCCCAGCAGCAGGATCTTCACCAGCCGCTTCACGTAGGTTTTCTCCCGGGAAAGAGTTTTATCGATCGCCCTGGACTTTCGGGTCTGCTCCGCCTCGCCGGCATTGAGCAGGCAGGCGGGTAGACAAACTTTTAACACGGACCTGGACGGCAGGAAATCCGCCATGTTCGCACTAACTTCATCGATGCTAATTTGCTGCGCGTTCTCGCGATGCGCGGGCACGGGACCAAGCCCCTTCCCTAAACTCAGGAAGTAACCGCTCCTGCCGTCCATCTGACGGCCTGCAAACAGGAAAAAACAGATGATTTACATCGAAAACATCTCACAGTCTCTTCAGAAACAGATATTATACAGAAACGGACACACTAGAAACAACGGAATGCATAAACAATTGCTAAACTTTCAATAAATCCGAGTTTTCAAGTGACAATCGCGCCCCCTGCTGGAGAATGTTTTTTTATTTCAAAACTTTATTAATCCCAAACGCAAGACAATATAACAAGACACACCTGAAAACTGCATTTTATCATGTGTAACTAAGCAACTATAACTACTTTATCAAAATAAAAGCAAACAAAGATTATAAAGAATAAAGGACTGATTTAAGAATAACCATTAGAATTAAATGTTCCACACATTAATATAATAGTTATAAGACTGAGCCTATTGGCTGCAACATACTTTTTTTCTTCAATATATTTTATTGAATTTTCTCTTTTTTGACACACAAAACTTAACCTTGTAACC